TTCTTTTTGTCCGTTGAACTTCCAGTGTCTCCTCACAGTTGGGTGGGTCCTGGTTGCTCCACTGGACACCAGGGTTCCCCAGTGGGCAATGGGGCATGGGAGTGGTTGACAAGGTATGAAAGGTCTTGAAGGCACCATGCTCAAGACACCTTCCGTAGAGCAGCCAAGGATGCCCATCCGGGGCAGGATAGGCATGATCTACCACTCCTTTAGTGCATGGGACTGTCTCTAGCCCCAAACAGCATCACCCCCAAGACCCTTCATCCTCAGAGTCTGTGCCCTCTAGGTTGTCAGCTTCTGTGTACTTGTCCATGTCTGAAGTCTCCTCCTTCCTTCCAGAAACCTTCCACTCTACCTCCATCTCTCGCTCTCTCTCCTTACCTCCACCCCCACAACTACCCAGTCAGGCAAACCCCTATCTCCTTGCATGTGTGGGTTCTTATCTGTTGTCTTCTCATCTGTGTTCTGCTCCTGCACATAACTGAAGTCCAGTGATTGCTAGCTCCAGGGGACAGGAAGGACAACCAGCTACAGTTGCTGGAAGCCACCCTCTCACACTCATGTCTGCCATAGTTATAACTGTATATCCACACCACCTAGCTGTATATAGTTACTGCCAAGGGACTATCCTCCTAAATGCTAGGACCTGAAGCTATGCTTATTTCACATTCCAGAACACAGATTAGCCTCCTTGAAACTGGTTCCTTCCAGAGGTTTTCAGTTAAAAGTCCCATCAGCCCCAGCCAGCACAATTAAGACTCAAGGATGAATTGAACTGTAGTCCAGACATCTGGTGGGGGCCAGACTATAGAAGGCTGACACTGATAACGTCTCAGATGAACACCAAGAAAACAGAGATCTCACATTATATGGCAACATACATGCAAATACAGAGACCGTTGAAATAATATATATATATATCTTGCATTTGGGTGAGCAGAAGCAGCAGCTCTTCACCCCACCTTACCTTCTATACACCGGCAAACATCAGGGTGGCACATACTACTGAGCAAGGCACTTCCGTTGGTTAGATGGTAGAATTTGGTGCACTGCTCATCTAAAAAGAGGGGAGAAAAAGATTCATCACTATCTCATGTTCAAAAGCCTGCACAGTTTACCAGTTTTGTACCTTTCACCTTTCAACCTTTTATTTGGTGAGGTCTTTTCTCCTAGGCTGAACTTTGTACTACCTGACCTCATGGTCTGAGGGGGCAGGGTTTTGGCTTTAAACTAGTGCCAGCAGAAGCGCGCGCCTAACGGCATATAAAATTATCTGGTTCTATTTTTGACTCTAATCTGCTAAATAGGAAAGCCAAATAGCATTGCCTACACCTGGGGGGCAGGAATTAGGAGTAGGATTATACTTCCGTGCTATTAGGGAGCAGGGCGGGTAGATGGAGCTCATCAGCCTTGGAAGGCGGCCCATCTAGGAGAAGGAAAACTCCAATTTCAAACCTCCACTGCCTTGTGGCTATATCCACTGATGGAAAAGGCTTCAGAAGATAACCTCGAGGCAAAATCCGGAGTCCCAGAGGCAGTTTGTGTCATTCTGGCAACTCCTGCGATGTTGCTGGAACCAGCTGTATTGGCTCTTGCCTTTCCATTGGACTATTTCAGTGACGTGGAGAGGGTGGATTTGCTGCTTGGGTAACAGGCTTTGTGCTCTGGAAAGGACACTCCAGCTTGGCATACAGTGTTAAAATAACATAAGAAGAAGCAGTTACTGGTTATAAGTCTTTGCTCGATTGGCGTAGAGCATGATGCCAGGGGCTACTTCCGGCGGTGGGAAAGGTCACCGCACTTGACTAGGTAAGATGAAAGCTGACAAGCAGATCGATAACCCTGCACCATGCAACAATCATAAGAAAACTTCTGCCCCAAAGTTGGGCACCTGGAATGTTCGGACAATGACCCCTGGCTTTTCTGATGACCTGCAGGAAATAGGCGACGCATGCAAGACAGCTGTCATCGACATGGAACTGAGTAGACTGCAGATGGACATTGTTGCCCTGCAAGAGATGAGCTTGCCAGACATGGGATCTGTCAAAGAAAAAAACTTCTCATTTTTCTGGATGGGAAAACTATTGAATGAGACCAGGGAACGTGGTGTTGGCTTTGCGGTCAGAAATACCATTGTTCCACCTACTGTGAGGAGTGAAAGAATGCTGTCTCTGAAGCTCCACTCATCAGTGAGACTGGTTACCCTCATTAGTGCATATGCACCAACACTGTTGTCCACAACAGAAGTCAAAGACAAATTCTATGACGGTCTGGCAGCTACTGTCAAAAAAGTCCCTGAGAGAGAGTCGCTGCTCATTCTCAGAGACTTTAACGCTAGAGTTGGTGCTGATCACAATCCTAGGCCCACCTGTCTAGGCCGTTTTGACATTGGGAAGATGAATGGAAATGGCCAACACTTGCTGGAGTTTTGCGTTATTATGGTCTTTCTGTCAGCAATACGTTCTTTAATACAAAGCCTCAACACAGAGTTTCCTGGTGATATCCAAGATCAAAGCATTGGCATCTCCTCGATTTGATCCTCACTAGACGTTCTAGCCTTCCTAGTATTACAATCACATGCCGTTATCAGAGTGCTGATTGCGATACTGATCACTCACTGGTGTGCAGTAGAGTAAAACTGCAAATAAAGAGATTGTATCACACAAAAAAAGGAAAGAAGACCACGTATTGACATCAACAAGACTCATGATCAAAGAAAAATGGAGGAATTTGCCCAAGCACTTGAGGCCCAGCTAATGCAAATGCACCTGAACGATGGGAACATTTCAAGAACGTTGTTTATAACACCGCCTTGTCCACATTTGGCAAGAAGACCAAAAAGATGGCAGACTGGTTCGAAGGCCATTTGGAGGAGCTGATGCCAGCCATCGAGGATAAGAGGAGAGCTCTAGCAGCATACAAAGCCTGTCCTAGGGAGTACAACTTGCAGCCTCGTTGAGCTGCTTGTAGCCAAGTCCAACAGGCTGCCAGGAGATGTTCCAACGATTATTGGCTTCAGCTCTGCTCTCAGATACAGATAGCAGCAGACACAGGTAATATCAAGGGAATGTATGATGGCATCAAGCAGGCTTTAGGTCCAATACAGAAGAAATCTGCTCCC